AAACAAGAGACAAAAACAGTTTCGAACATATTATCTAATACGTTCTAGTTCCACGTAAAATACTATATTTCTCAGGACAGACGCTAGCGGGTGTAGAGGGGACTGAACCTCCTGAAGCGTCGTTGGTTCTCCAAGCTAATGCCATTCATTAATCCAATTTTTAACTTATTTGAGATTTGGCCCCAATATGCGTTTCATAATAATTTAGCAAGCTTTCGCTTTTATAAAAGATATTTATTAACAAATCCAAAACATGTATATAAATATAACAGTACTGTCTGTTGTTTGTCCATGTAACTACTCAACAGAGTGTGGAGTTTTGCGGTTTTTATGGGCGTTTTTTTTTTACCACTATTTTGCCCCCTGTTGATGTATCTTCACCGACTGTAAAATTTTACACGTATCTTTACCAATGAATAGTTTGTTTGTAGTTAGGCACAAAGCTACGCAATGGCCTATTTGTGCTGTGGTATCGAAACCCGGTTTTTAGAATTATAAATTTGTAGACTTACCGCTGCGCGACTGGGGGCACCAATTAATATAGTTGTAACTTGATTTACTCCCATCCACAAACATGCACGTGTGTGTGCATGAATTACCGAAAACGTAAAAAAAAAATGTGAAAGCTCAGTGAAGTTGACCTATAAGCCAGCTCAAATTCCCAAACTTGAGTTATTACCGACATATTAAAAATGTCGTTTTATCAAGACTACGTAAATAATATAAACTTTACTTCAAACTCCGAAAATACAAAGTTATTATCTATTAAGTCTATTTTAGAGACCTGTATCCCTTGATAAACTATTTGTGACAATTATCTGACATAAAACATAAATTTGAAATTCGCAAGTAAAGAATTATTGAATTAACAATGTCCTCCCCCTATAATTCTACGTGAATTTTTATAAGCCCTAACGTAATGCTCTGTTGTTGTTGTTTTTTAATACCCACACTCCTTAATATGATTTATTACCTATTATGTTAGAAATTTACCATCAATTTGACAAAAATTAGTTTAGTTGTCTTTTAAAACACTGGGATAATGCTTCTAAGCTGTTTTGGTGGCTTTAACTAAAAATAGTTAAAATTAACAAATTACAACAACTTGTCTTAGGCAAGTACATGTGAATTTGCGAGTTATAGTTTTCCCAAAATAATATATATTTGCGCAAAGGCTATCTGCGCATAGTCTCTTCTAGTATTTAACTGACTGGAAGATTTGTTTGTTTGTTTGTTTTGAACTTCGCGCAAAGCTACACGAGGGCTATGTGCACTAGCCGTCCCTAATATAGCAGTGGATGGCTCATTTCAAGATATGTGTAAAGCATATTAACCCCCCAGTAAGAGCCATTTAATGGGGTTGATGATACCAATCTATGTTTTCTGTGAAATCTAACATGCGTGGTCCTACATTTGAAGTTCTGTTTATATTATGTAATCCAATCACTACAGTTAGGCCTAGATCTAAATCTTAAATAAATCATAACATACTCGTATGCAGCCATGATTGGATGGAATTATTGCTCTTCACCAATTAGATCACGTTCTAGATCTGTCTAAGTTCAGACTAGCCTGCCATAGGTTTCAAGCATGTGGTGGCATTTGCACAATGTAGGAACCCCCCCCCCCCCCAAACCAAAAGGGAGCCAGCCAGTAATAGCAGTGCTTATAAAACTGATGATAATTTATGTGAAATTAGCCACAATAATGTTGGGTGTTTGTAGCGATTCTAAGAATGCTCATTTATCTGAAGAAAAAAAAAATACCAATTTAGCGATATATGGTCATTTGTTGGGGCCAATTTTTTGACATCCAAAAATCTCTTCTGACTTACAACACAATATTTTTATTTAGTTGAGGTTTAGTTTGTTTTTATTTTGAATTTCGCGCAAAGCTACACAAGGGCTATCTGTGCTAGCTGTCCCTAATTTAGCAGTGAAAAAACTAGAGGGAAGGCAGCTAGTCATCACCGCCAACTCTTGGGCTACTCTTTTACCAACGAATAGTGGAATTAACAGTCAAATTATAACTCCCCTACAGTTGAAAGCGCAATCATGTTTAGTGGGATGGGGATTCGAACCCACGACCCTCAAATTATGAGTCAAGTGCTCTAACCACTTGTCCATGCCATGCTTTTTGAGATTTAGTATGGGAGATTATATATGTTCCCAAAGAGACACAGTTGAGGTACTAACACAACACAAGGTGTAAACTTCTGGTACCCATCATCTTAAAACTAGCCACACCTGAGATCTTGGTACCACAACTAGATCCAGCTGAGATCTTGGTACCCATCATCTTAAAACTAGCCACACCTGAGATCTTGGTACCACAACTAGATCCAGCTGAGATCATGGTACCACAACTAGATACAGCTGAGATCCTGGTACCACAACTAGATCCAGCTGAGATCATGGTACCACAACTAGATCCAGCTGAGATCAACTAGATCCAGCTGAGATCTTGGTACTACAACTAGATCCAGCTGAGATCTCGGTACCACAACTAGATCCAACTGAGATCATGGTACCACAACTAGATCCAGCTGAGATCTTGGTACCACAGCTAGATCCAGCTGAGATCTTGGTACCGCAGCTAGATCCAGCTGAGATCTTGGTACCACAACTAGATCCAGCTGAGCTCTTGGTACCACAACTAGATCCAGCTGAGATCTTGGTACCACAACTAGATACAGCTGTTTAGGCAAAAAAAGAGCAACAACAACAGATGTTGGTCAGCTCCAAACCAGACACAGATGAAATTTCAGCAACTGTTTTACTGAAGATAAACATTAATTAGCTCCAAGAATCTAAAGTTTTATTAGCCAGATGCTATTCAGAAACAGGAGACGTGACCTGTCTGTTAACTTCAATCTAAAGTAAAAACTTTAGAAAGGAAATGCACACATTCATTAGCCCAAAGCTGTCGATGTTAATAAAGAAAAGAAAAGTAAAACTACTTTGTCGGTAAATAATCTTTGTAGGCAATAATATTTTAACAGAATTGGCATGGTTATCTTGACATGGCTATTTGTCAAATATTGGCTAAAAATTTCTTGGCATTATGGTGGTTTAAGAATATATTAAAAAAAAAAAACTTGTAAAAGAATTTTAGATGCACTTCTAAAATGTTGCGCATAACTTTTATTGTGTATTTGTCATTAACTTGACACCGTAATGATATAATCTTACAATGAATTATACTACAGATGAGGAATTTGATGATAGGATAACAAAAGTGGATATTAAAATAAAAAGCATAATACAATAGTAAACACTGTAGAAATACAAACTAGAATACTGATGACATCATACCAGTATACAGTAACGATTACCAACACAGAAAGATTTGGTAACACTGTTTATGTAGCCACAAAATATTATTTCACTATCACACACAACAGTGCTTCAGCTATTAAAAGAATTTAGTTTTCACATTTATACCTTGTCTTCCAGTATCCAAAGTTAGCTGTTTCAGATATTTCCTCAATCACTAGATGACCTACAAACCTAAGTAGTCTCACTTTACAGTCTGTCAGTACCGATTGATACCGAATAGCCGAACCTTATGGAACTGGGGCAGTTTGGGCAACAGAACTAACAGCAAGGACGCGAAGTTGATAGTAAAATGAAATGAGTCATTCTTGGTGTAAAAGCTTGTCAGGAAAAACCTGTAATAAAAATAAGCTTAATCACAAAGAAAACCTGTATTATAAAACAAGATGAACTTGAAAAAACAACAACTACAAACAGGTTTATTCAAAAACAAAACTATAATACAAAACAAAATGAATTTGAAAGTAACCACAATAGAAAAAAAAATATTAGTAAAAAAAAAAGAAACAACAGCATAAGGCAAGTTTAATCAGAATAAGACAAAGCGGAAAGAAACTACGATAAAACAATATTACTTAAAAAAGAAACTACAGCATAAGGCAAGTTTAATCAGAATAAGACGAAATGGAAAGACTCTTCGATAAAACAATATTACTTAAAAAAGAAACTACAGCATAAGGCAAGTTTAATCAGAATAAGACGAAATGGAAAGAAACTACGATAAAACAATATTACTTAAAAAAGAAACTACAGCATAAGGCAAGTTTAATCAGAATAA